CCAAATGTTTATTTAACGTTTATTTATTTAAATTTAAAATATTAACGAACACATGTCCCACAATAATTTGTTTATTCCCCCTGTTTCTAGATGCTAGAATATATGAATTGAAGATAATTAAATTTCAAGTTTGTGTTCAAATATTTTTTTTGACAAAAATAGTTGTCAATGTGCCGACGCAATTGTTGCGAGAATGACATTTTTTATTTTGTTTTGTCAATATCTCGCGAACCGTTCGTTTTTAGCGATTTTCCTTCGATTTCTCCTTCTTTGGTAAAGCTTTCTTGGTATACTTTTTACGCCCTTTCTAATGGTACCATTTTTATTGAGATTGGTCGACTTTTTTTTTTATCTTCACCCAGTTCTTCAACTCTTTCTTCTTTTAACCTCTTTTTTGACAACTTTTTTTTCCTGTCATATTGGTCTCCTGTTCTTCGTCACACACACCCCCACACTTATACATATATTAAATTGTCTTTTACTTTTATTATCCTTTGTTTTAATTGCTTTTCACTCTTTTTATCTTCGATTTTGTAAACATTCCCCACTTTGAATGAAATATTCTGTGTTTTGGCCTCCTTGACAAGCTGGTGGTCCCTGGTGCTAGAAATGCCTTAGAATTGAAAATACAAATCTTAAACAGGCTTTAAAGTTTTAATCCATTTATATATTCCTGTATTTCAAATTTAAACGTCTTTTAAACTTTTCATGCGTGTTGCACCGCCCAGATTCAACTGACTGCCCGATGTGACTATCAACTCCATTTCTGAACCTGAAAACCTTGAAGCCCTGATTAGGAGAATAGTGAGAGAAGAGGTTCGGGAGTTTATAGCTCCTCCTTCTACATTTGCCGCCCAGGATGTCGATCCACCACCCCCAATAACCAGAGGACTCAGTGGCGTACTGAAGATGACAGGCCTATCTGCTTCCACTGTGGTCGCCCTGGCCACGTTGTATGTTATTGCAGAGACAGACACCAAGCCCCTGTCCAATTTGCATAGGGAGTAACTAGAGCTTGTCAAGGAGGAAAAAAAAAAACACAGAATATTTCATCCAAAGTGTCTTAATCCAGCGGTAGAAAGTTGGCGGGAAATGTTTACAAAAACGAAGATAAAAAACGAGGGAAAAGCGATTAAAACAAAGGGAAATAAAAGTAAAAGGCAATTTAATATATGTATAAGTGTGGGGGGGGGGGTGTGTGACGAAGAACAGGAGAACAATTTGACAGAATGGTAGAAATGACTGAAGAGATGAAGGGAAGCTAGGAAGAGTTCATGACACGACCTGCTCAAGATGATGAAGTTTGAAACAAAATACAAATCTTACTGCCTCCAGTGACATCATGCTGTTCTTTAATATTTTAAATTTGAATAAGTAAACTTTAAATAAACATTTAGTAATATTCCACTAGATGGCGCTCTGCCATCTCACCGCGGTCAAGTTACGCCTTTTTGTTCTTAATAAATTTAAATATAATAAACGTATAGCCCACATGGCATTTTTACAAGAAATAGTTGTGGAAAAATAAAATTTCAATATTTGTTCAACAACATTTTTGGTGACATTCCACGCACCGCAACAAATGTGGTAAAAATGAAGATTTTTATTTTGTTATGTCAATATCTCGCGAACCGTTCGTTTTTAGCGATTTTCCTTCGATTTCTCCTTCTTTGGTAAAGCTTTCTTGGTATACTTTTTACGCTCTTTCTAATGGTACCATTTTCATTGAGATTGGTCGACTTTTTTTTCTCTTCACCCAGTTCTACCACTCTTTCTTCTTTTTAACTCTTTTTTTTTTTTTGCAAACTTTTCTTTGTCAAATGTGTCTCCCTTTCTTTGTCACACGTTATTTCATATATAAAACTGTCATTGGCTTTGTGAGAACTCAAAATATATTTTAAAAAACCATTGTAACCATCAAATTCAATAAATTTCACAGAAATATTGCGATAGAACGCTTCAAAACCGTGAATATGTGTTTATTTTAAATCCATTTATTTCACGTGCCTCATGCCCTATATTTAAACTACAAAATTTTATTTTATTTGAATTATTTGAAAAATGTAGAGTAAATTAAAAATACTTCTAATTTCGGTTGATAGATGGCGTTTTATGCATTCAAGTTAATTTTAAGCCTAAAATAACTTTGTTTTTGTTTTTAAAGATGAGCTACCCGCTCGATTCATTTTTTTTTCTTGAGAAAATTTATTCCCAGTTCTCAACTATATTAGAATATAATGCGGCTTATGATTGTAGAACGACATTTGAAAATACCCGCATGTGCTTCTTTTGAACGAAAAATTAAAATTTATTTTGATACTTCATCCCTAAGGTTAGAAATAATCATTATTTCTCCTTAAAATAAATTTTGATTTTTCTTTCAAAAGAAACACATGCGGATATTTTCAAATATAGTTCTCAACTATATGGGAGACAGATTGGCGCGACTCACAAATTACCTCTCAGCCACAATAAAGAACTATGTCTTTAACTGACTCTGTGTATCAACATGGTAGACTCGTTGTAGACAACAAACACAGATCAATTGTAATTCACTTTTTGTGACAATTTCTATGTTGTTAATAAGACACATTTTCTACAATTTGTAAATAGAATATGAAAAATAAATGGGATTTATTGATTTCTTGGTGTGTTGTTTTTATTTACAAAAATGGCATAGATGTAATATGCGTACATATCTTTTTAATGTTCAAAATAGAATATACAAGAGAGGCCGGGCTGAGTTCAAGGACGTGACCCTGGACACACACCACACGTATATACAGCAGTCCATGGGGACACCTATCTGCAATGAAACTTTTTGAGAGAGACTTTAATCCCCAGGAGTTTGTCAGGAAATATTCTAGAAGTGAGACACACAGAAGTCTAATAGATTCTCCACAGTTATAAATATATCGTATTAGAGCCATGTGCCCAGTTTTAGCGGACAAATAAACGAATCGTTTTAATTAGGAAAACTAAAAGTTTCTGATGGCTAGCGCCATTTATCAGAATAAATAGCAACTAAAGTGCAGCCTGCACCACGATGATGAGGGCCACTTAAGCGCGTATGTGGTTGGCTTTGATTAAAAATTATTATTAATCAAAAAATAGTTATTGACTAATTCTGGAAAATAATTTTAAAAATCCACGCTCAGTTGATATTTATTCCGACAGATGGCGCAAGCAACTTGCACGATCAGGGAATTCACTTTTACTTAATTTATCAACCTGATCCCAGTACAATTTCCCAGTGTATTTCTGGTGTTTTGACCAGAGTCATTTCTGTTTGTTTCAGCGCAAATGTCCTGGGCGATCAGAGGGGTTCTCAACTGATGCTGATAATTTTACCTGCTCGCGGCGTTTACAAAAAATCTTATTAAAACATACACTTGTACTTTATTATTATCTCTTACCTCTGGTGGGTAGTTTTTGCTGCAAGTACACCACATGTCTACACATGTAAAAAGCGGTTCGAATTTTGCACTTACAAGTGTGTCAGGGCCCAGTTTGCACTCACTGGTGGGGTTGGACTTTGTCAACAATTCTCCAGGAAAAAATAAGTGGCCAAATCGACAATAGGCGGTTTGCACCACTCCTCCACAACCCACTTTATTATTTACGCCATAATTCAAGGATTAACAACTTAAGGATTAACATATATAGTTTAATACCTTGTAAATCTCTTATTTATGTAGAATTGTTTACAAATTTTACTGGTACGAGGGCCAGAAAAACACTAACGGGAGTGTGTGTGTGGTGCTTATTATGTTTATAGAACCAGAGCTTGAAGGTGTAGAAATATATTAATTGTCATAGATTTATATAAAGACTACCACACATCGACATCCTTTCTTTATATTGAACATTTCGATAAAAAAAATCGAATTTTATTTTCGGAAACATTGACATCAAAACGATAGTGCATATGTCATTGCACCAATCAGGGTATCCAACTAGAAAACATGTTTGCTTGTTTTTGATAGGAAATCAAGTGATGTTGTTACATATGTTTATCCCAATTATCAATGTTAGTGAACGACAGCAAAACCTATCGTCAACACCTGTTGACTGCGTTGTCCAGCGTGCTGTGTTATCCTGACATCTGATTGGCCGCTTAGCTTGAATTATACACCCATGGACAAGACTTAAGGAAGTTGTACTTTGGGAATTAGTACAGGGCATGCTACTTCTAAGAGTGATCATTCCAAGAAAATATAGAGCTAAAATCAAAATTTAATTACATCAAGGACACATTGGTGTAGTCAAAATCAAAGCTCTGGCCCGAAATTTCATTGGTGGCCTGGAATAGATCACGAAATAGAATGAATCTTTAGAACTGGTATGTGTACTAAGTGTTAATGATGGGGAACTGCTCCTACAACTTGTATCGCATCCATATGGATTTCACTGGTCCATTCAAGAATAACATATTTTTGATAGTGGTGGACAGTTATTCTAAATGGCTAGAGGTTTATTCTATAACAGCTCAAAATACCGTCAAAATTTTAAGATATCTTTACTCACATTATGGAATTCCACAACAAATGGTCAACTGATAATGGACCAAAATTAATTTCAAATGAAATACAAATTTTCTTCAAATCAAATGGAATCCGACATCTTAAGTCTTCTCCATATTTTACCGCGGCTTGGCTGAGCGTTTTGTACGGACCGTAAAAAGATCATTGAAGAATATGAAAAACAGGTCAAATAAGAAAAATTTGGATTTTACCAAATTCTGCTCCTGAGGTATTCTTACCGGGGCCAATAAATCCTAAAGAGCGAACTGAGGAGATTGCTACTTCCCCTAGTGAAGGAAGGAGGCGCTCCGCGTCAGAGTATAGCGCCTTCCCCAGCTAAGGAGTACAAGACGACGTCAGAGAAAAAAAGAACACAGGCAGATTCAGTTTTTAAAAGGAGGAAAGAATTATTATATATTTATTCATAAAATTCTATATTTATTTATTTATTTAACAGTTGCAAAGACACGCCATATCCACAATTAGGTTTTAAACGGCTACAGGTTTGAAGCCTGCACCCCGGACCTCCGAAGTTCATCTGGGCGTATAATATATTGAATATCGTCTGTAAATATTAACGTATCTTGTTTATATTATTTTTATTCCTGCATATTTAAATATTAAAATGTAAGTTGTATTTGGTACTAATGAATAATAGTTTATAAACTCAAATATATACATCACACAAGTTATACGCTATAAATTTGACGTAAAAAAAGTTGCAAGTCAGAGCAAGGCAGCCTTGAGTTGTCAAAATAATGTTCGAAAGGGCGGACACAACCATTTGGTACCAGACGGATTACTCAAATCGATGTGCAAGGCTTTTATAATCTGTGGAGTTATTTTGAACCATATTTATATAACCATGAGCTTACACAATTCCCAGGGTTGATGTTTGTTTTCAAATGTTCCTGTGAACAAGGGGGAGAGGATACTAAACATAATCATTTCTATGATCTCAGCGGCTGTTTGGAAACGCCATTTCTCGGCAATCAGGGGGAGGAGAGCTAAACAACCTTCGGGAATTGGGGGGAACCGGCAAAAAATTGAGGAAATCCCGAGGTCACAGCTCCCACAAGGTCCCTGCGCTTTTTTTAAACCGCGTTTCAACAAAATCGCAGTTACTTCATTAGCTGCTTGTTTGTGAGGCTCCTCCATCCAGGTTGCTCATCCATTCAACCAGTTTGTATATTGGAACAACTAGGGAAAAAATACACCGATAGATGGAGCCAGGAGAAGATCCTCCACTGACCCGGGAGATTAATCAAAACAGGACAAAGGTGAAGCATAAAAGGAGCGCCCCAGAATAAAATGTTTTTCAAATTGAGTTGTGTCAACCTCGGCTGACATCTAGGATTACCTTTTCATTTTAAATCCAGAAAAAAATATATTTGTAATGGAGTCAGATAAAATGCCGATTCAAAAAATGGGGCTTCGAAAAATTCCAATATATATGAATTTAAAGTTGGTAGAATTCTCAGAATAAATTTGTTTTAGATTAAAAAAGATTGGTAGGAATTTACTTTTAGTAGCTTCCAAATTACAAATATCCTCAGGATGTGACTGACTATAGTTTAGAAACTTGTCTGAAACCATCGTTGTCCGGCACACAGCGACTTGATAAATAAGTTTCTATAACACTTCATTGAAATATTTTCGATCATTTGTTGAGTAGAGAATATTTAGCTTTGTTTTAATCCATTTTTGCCTAAAAAATATCCGCCCTATGATTAATAAATAAATGTTTTTTTTCGTGAGAACAACCTCACAAAAAGTTAACAAAAACACACACACACTTATATATAACTAGCGGACGTACCCGGCTTCGCCCGGGTTTTACCCGAGTAAAGGTTTGTCTAACGAATCTCTCGATAAAGTGAACATTTTTTTCCCGGTCCCTTGAAAAATACTCGATAAGTTGGAAAAAATCAATATTAATTTGTTCCCTCGGTAATTGGAAGTTAAAGGAATAGTATCTTGCCTTGGAATTGTATCATTATTCTTGTCTCAAATAAATTGCCGTGTCAGCCTGAATTTTGTCTTTCCTAATTTTCTACATTACAAAATCATCGTATCATCATGATAATATTTAGAGCAGATTGTTGAATTATAACAGATAAATTAGAATATTTATCTTGATTATTTCTAGGCGAAAAGTTATTTCAAAAATTTTATTTGCTAGAAACCTTCCCAGTACTATACTAAATAACTTCCCAAAGTTTAATGGCGTTCCAATGAGTGGTTTGGTCAGGCATAAAGGACAGACAGACACACACACACTCGGCCGTGCGGCACGCTTTTGTCGAGCTCCGCCTTTTTCCCACCCTGGCGGGTGTATGGCTACCGGCAGTACGCCGAATTTAGCACGGGCTGAAAGCCCATTAAAAGCTGATCAAACGCCTGAAAGGCACAGCAACGTAGCACAGCCCTGTGCAGAGAAATCTGCAATTTTCAATTCGCAGAGAAATATCTCGAATACTAATGAGAGAATTGAAACTTATGCAAATTCTCCCGCCGGCGGAAGAAATGTAAATTCGGTCGCGCCGTTCAACTTGGCGGCTCTCCCTTCTTCCAACCGCGGTGCCGATGCCCAAAGAAACTGGGCAGACTATGCCGAGAATGTGAATTCTGAGGAGGATGACAGCTTCACAGTCGTAAAAGGCAGGAAGAGGCGCCGCGGCTCGCCGGATCTGCCTGCCATGGCCGCGCAGTCTAACAGCGCTGGCACTTCTCGCCGACAGCGACCGTCGACGGGACGGATGCCCCAGGTCCAGGAAATCAGGACCACGAGGGCACACGTCATGGAGGCCAGGGCTCGCCAGGCGTCCTGCACCGAGGAGCAGTGCTGTTTCCTCGAGTTCTGTCCGGAATACCAGACCTACCAGTACATGAAGGCTTTGGAAAAGGTGGTCGGAAGCACAGGAAACATTGTCCAGTTCACTAAGGTGAACGGGCAATACTTGGTCGGACTCGCCAACAGATCCCTGGCGGAGCGCCTAGTTCGAGAGGGCCTCGAGATCGAGGGAACCCTTCTCAAGACCTTCCCCTTCAGGAGAACTTCAATCAGAGTTACGATTGGGAACCTCCCCTTCTTTGTGGGAGACGCCGCCGTCATGGATGCTCTCTCCAGATACGGCCGAATAACCTCCATCGCCCCCAAACAGCTTAGGGTTGGAGAGTTTAATTTCACCGACGGCCGCCGGGAGGCCTTTATACTCCTCCATAACGGCATAACCGTCGAAATGCTCCCCTCTCGATTCGAACTGAGGATCAAGGGCGAGCCATGGCCAGCTTTCCTGACCCACGGAGTCAAATGCTCGAAATGCCGTGGTCAAGGTCACCGAAGAGCAAACTGCCCCCAACTCCATGGGCGTCCTACTACCGCCAGACGGGCCTCACCGCCCCCTTCCACCGGCCTTCCACCATCGACCGCACCTGGGCTGCCTGGACCGTCTCCGGCCGCGCCAACCCTGCCGGCGCCTACCAGCCCAGCTGTCAGGCTTTCCGGCGCTCAACCAGATGCCCGAGTTGCGTCCCCACCATCTACGGCGCCCCGGCCGTCTACACCAGCGCCTCCGGCCTCATCTGTGCCGGTGGCGGCCCCTGTTCCTCCATCAGTGGCCCCTGCACCTGTAGATCCCGCGGGCCCTCGCTCGGCAGCAACTGAGCCGACGCCTCTCGCCCGGCCGGACTTCATTGCCCCGTGTGGCCCTCTGCCTGCACAGGGGACCCTCGGACCTGCGACCCACACACCGGATGTCGACATGACCACCACTGAGGAGCCCTCTGCTCCCTCACCAGCCGCAGTTTCAACACCCCCACTGCCTGCGCCTCAGCCTGCTGGGCCGACACCATCTGCTCCCCACAAAGAGGATCCGACACCGGCTATGACACCTCCGTCCCCACCACCTGCCCCGATGGAGGAAGACCTGCCGCCGAACCTGGGTGATTGCATCGATAGAATTTTAGGAGAGATCATCATTTCCAATATCGACCCTGGACCCTTGGTCGATGATGAAACCTCCTGGACCGACGCCATTGATGCCATCCTACATCCCCATTCTAGGGCGCCTTTCCTTGCGAGACTCTCGCCTATTTTGAAGAAAAACTACGCTGTCTTTTTCGAGGCGGCCATCGAGCGCGCTCGGGATTCCCATCCCAGGATCCTCAGCGGGTTGTCCGAGCTCAGGAGGGCCTTGGCTCCCAAGACTAGACGTCACCGCGGCAAGCGCTAACCTAATGTATATACCCCTCTCTCTTTCTCTTTGAGATGTAACATTGTCTAGAAGACAATAAATAATTTTCAATTGTCACACACACACACATACATTCATTTATAATTTTTTTTTTGTTTTGAAAATAGAGCAATCCATACTTAATTCATTAGATAATAAAAGGCATATATTGGATTTGAAAAAATATTGGCAAAATAAATATTTTTTCAAATCCAATATATGCCTTTTATTATCTAATTTATATATATATATATATATATATATATTATAATATAACTAGCCGAATGACCCGGGCAACGCCCGTGTTTTAATTTAGACACGTGGACCTGTTGGATCATTAACGCCCGTGTTTTACCCGATTGAATGTTTTTATTCAAATACTATTTGTTACAATTATAAATTGGCGCCTTAAATAAATGCATATATTAGTTAATAACTATAGCCTATGTGCTTTATCTGTCTATGTACTGTTGGCTTCCGTAGGCGTCTCTTACTGGGAAAAAGAAAGAGAGGATTCTATTTAGTTATTAACTAATATATGCATTTATTTAAGGAGCGACCCGCTCCAACACAATAGTTACAAAAACCAAAAAGCGAGTGGGGGGGGCAAAGTCAAAAACAAAGTGTCTCGCGCAGTGGCGGCGCCATCGTAGCGAACCAATAGGAGAGCGCCATTCCAAAAAAAAAATCAAACGGTGACAGAGATGAAGAACGCATGACGCTCGTAACTGTATATAGAATTCTTTATATAGTGACACTTTTATTCCACAAGTGAATTATCCCTAAAAGACTGGTGGCTCCCTGACGTGGTCCAGTCGTCGAGGATTTAAGTGGCAAATATTCTTGTCGCGTCGCGGAGATCCAGAAGCTGGCTTCAAGGGCATTGATAAAGGTTATTTAAATAGCTTATCGCAAAAAAAAAATACCATCATCAAAATACTATAAAACCTCCAAATACCACAACCTTTATATAAATAATTAAAATATACGCCTATTTTTTTTTTTCAATATTAAAAAATAATTTTTACAGTAAAAATTATCTCAGTTTTTCAAGAATGTATAGTGAGGAATACAATAGTAAAGTGCTGTGTACTCTGGGAGCACAATGTAGCTAGACACTAAATCCCCCATCGTACGGGCGAACTAAGACTTTGTAAACACTAACACAACTTGTCATGACGACGTTCAGGACAGACCAAGTTCCCCATAAAGGTAGGTCCAAGGATCGACAATGCTATAGAAGTAGGAAAAGCAATTCGCCACTGATGAACCGAAATTTCTGTCAAGCTTCATTGCGGGAGGACAGGAA